TTCTGCATTACTTTTGTTTCGGTTACTTCATTAGCTGTTACAAAAGGCCCAGACAGTTCTTGTTGTCCAATAAAAAAGTCATTTTAAATGATTCACTTCCTGTTGTTTTATTTTCCTTCTCTTAAAGCTGCACTGATAAGAATATTGTGTCATAACAATAACTATGTCAATAAAATGACAAAATGCAATGTGAAAAGGGGGTTGCTCGTAGTATCACACATCAATTCTGCAGTTTCCATGCAGCCCTTTAGCCTATTTTGGATCATTGTTTTGATTCTTACTTGCAACTCTGCTCTCATCAAGCATGTGTTTTCAGCCAAAAAGGTCAGATAAACCCTCTGTAGGCTACCTGTTCAGCACCAAACAGCAGACTGACAAAGTTGGCGTCAAGCTAGTGAACTTAGCAGAGCATTTAGCAGCTAAAATACCCAGCCAAGCCCCAGAAGATGTTAGCATTGTACATTTCTAGAGGGATTTAGTCTATGAGATTATTTTGTCATTGGGACATGGAGGGGATGATGGATGACGTGACACCTTGGTAAGACACCTGCCAAGCTGCAAACCACCTTTTGAGACCAACAAACAACAACACTGGTTGTGTGTTAGTCACTGAATGAGCGACCCGCTGCTGTTTTTACACAGTCGATAATGCCACGGAAAGCAGTTGTTCAGTGACATCACTCAGTTCCTGGTGAAATAGTGCTACAAAAGGTGTTTGCTTTTTACCAAGACATCGCTGCATTTCCTGATGAAACAGTGCCACGAAAAGCGGTAGATTTTTATCAAGACATTGCTCTGTTTCTGGCTGGGACAGTGACACAAAAAGCGGGTATTCTATGACAAAACATGACTTTTTCCTCACCATTCCTCACGTGTTTTTTGAGCCAAACCCAACCATTTGTAAACCACAGCTGTTGTTGAGACATGAATAAACATAAACACAATGTACATATGTAACATAACTGTTTCTAGAATCGTACGATGCCAACATTTTATCATTATTCTTTTTTTGGGGGCAATCGGGTTCAAAATACCAGATATTTCTCTCAGGAGTTGGTGGAGACCAAAACAGAGCAAAAGCAAGGATGAATATTGGACTTACATGCATAAGGTGTCTAACAATGCAACTCCAAATGAATGCTAATGTTGCTCTGTGTCTGTTGGACATGTTAATAGGCAACTTCTTAAAGAATGTTAGCCATAACACCTTCATATGGTGACAAAGTTATGTCTTCAGCTTGTTCACTTTTGGAGCTGCAGCTGGCAGTGGTAGTGTCCTCAGTTGTGTTGCTCAAGGACACTTCAGCAGTGTAGATGCTTGCAAACACAAACTCCCTCTGTTAAATAATGGTCATGAATCACAAGGCTACCTAGCTGTGCAACATGCACAACACACGCAATTATAGTTGTCCTTCTAAGGTGAGCGCACACTATTACTTCTGTTTATTGGTTCCCAACTGGATTTGATTTGGTAATGAAAGCCATAAACAGGTGTGATCAGGCTATAATCAGCTGTAGAGGAAGGCCTCTCATTATTGAGCTCAGGGCTGCGGGCTTCAATGGGAATGACTAAGCGAGACTGCTGTGCTGTTTATGGATGAGGTAATGTGTATTTATATGAAGTTTAGGAGCTTCTTCTGAATACTAATGCACTAATGCCCGGTGTGTGTGTGCACATGTGTGAGTGGGTGTAGAAAGTCAGTGAAAAGGAATGTTGATCCCGTGGTATTAAATCTGTCAGAGGCGAACTGACGAGGGTTGTAGAAATATGTCTGAGCACTCAGTGGTCCTGTCTTTCATGCCTGTCCAATCCCTGTCAGGAAACAACGACTTGTCACCACTCTGTTGTCTGAGCTTTTCATGGGAGCTGTTGAGTAATGAGCTTTGGAGTCGTTGGTGGCACGTGGAATTGAACAATCATAACTGACAGCGGCACTTGTTGTAATATCCAGTGAGAGATAGTCTTACAAGGGGAAGAAATGTGGTCAAAAGATTTAGTCCAGCGGCGAGGCAGGAAGGTTAATTTGGTGTCTGCATTGTGCAACACACAGAGCTCACAGTCGAACGATTTACACTAACTAAAAGGGCTCCAGCTCTCTTGTGATAAATATTGGGTTTAAAGACGAAGAATCAGTGCATGTTTCATATTCCAAAACTATTGTTGTCTTATCGGGACAAGTACGTCCTACCTCCTATCCTCCAGATGGTCTTGTTTGCAGGTGTTCCTCAGTTGGATGTCATAAGATGGGCCTTTACGTAGGAACACAGCCCTGCAGGAAACACACACACTGTAAATAAACAACACATAACACAAAATTAATACAATAAAATACACTGAAACATACAGTTTTACTAGATTTTCTAGGCTAGAAAATCGGATGGTGTACATTAAACCTGTTAGTTCTTTGTTTGTTTAAGTTGATTTTATGTTTCTAATTGATTTCTTATCCTTGTTTCTAAAGTGATTACAGTATAATGAAAACACACCCCAACATTGTGGTTCATATACAGAGTTCAGTTTCTTTTTAGTACTAGTTCTTCTATGTTCATACCTATATTTACATTTACTTTATTGGTCCATTTTGGCTTCTGTATTACACATTGTAACACACTTTTATGTTGCTTTCTGCTGTAACTATGTCCTACAGACGGCCTGGAAAGACAGGGCTATAAGCCCTTGGAGCATGATGAAGCTGTTCTACTGGAACCAAGAGAAAAATAACCCCACTGAAAATATAATTGGTTCGTGATTACACAATTATTTGACTGATTCACCTTTGAAGGGATTAAACTTCCTGTGTCAAAGTGTAGACATGATCAAAACTTATGTCACCTCTTGATAACTCTTACTAACAATAACAGTGGTGAAAGAATATTCTTCACTTAAGTAAATGTAACAATACAATCATGTAAAATACTGCATTAAACCTACAAAAGTGAGAGTTCCTTAGTATTTTCAGTAAACGCTTATCCTGTTAGGGGTCGCGGGGGGGCCAGGAGCCTATCCCAACTGGCATTGGGTGAGAGGCAGGGTACACTCTGGACAGGTCGCCAGACTATCACAGGGCTGACACATAGAGACAGACAACCATTCACACTCACATTCACACCTACGGAGCCACCAATTAACCTGCATGTCTTTGAATAGACGGGGAGAACATAAAAGTACTTACTCTGCAGTAAAATCTCCCCTATGACTGATATATTCTTAGTAGATAGGTAGTTTAGTCACAAGATAAAGCTTAGGGGTCATGAGAAAGGAAAGAGGAAACAAAAATTATTCAACATAAGTTTATATGTATGTTTTGGACGTTTCTCTAACTTTGTTTTTTCTGTGCAATAATGGACAACAGTTATTTAAATGAAACCATGTGAGAGGTTTCAAGGGGAAAAGTTTCTTTAGTGGAAACGCTAACAACTTACAGACATCTCACTGGTTCAGTCTTAAACAATGTTGAACTCCTCTTTCCAGTCATGCCCTGATGAAGACACAGTGTGGGTTGAAAGTGGTCGGTGTTCTCATTTTGTATCTTTTAGGGTTTATATGCCTCAATCTAGTAAAGGTATTTTGGGCATGGGGGTTGGGGATGTGGGACACCTGCTCTACCCACTAAGTCACTGGGCGCCCCTAATGAAGGCATTTTAAATATACAGACTTGGCCCAGTGCTACTGTGGCTTCCCATCTTCCTAATCTTAAAATCTTTATCTGAAAGCAGCAACCAGTAGCTACATCTGACAAATAAACGTAGAGGAGCAAATCTAAAGTAAATGCTCAAGTACCACAAAATGTTACTTAAGTACAGTTCTTTAGTAAATGTACTTAGTTACTTTCTACCACTGATTTGTGAAACAGTTATTGAATGATAAACCCCCCCCCCCCCCCCCCCACTTTTATCATGATGGGGGCAGGTATTCAGTGTGTGACTCGTGTAAATGTATGTACGTAAATATGTGAACATCTTTTTCTTCAAGACGTGCTTTTATTTTGTAAAAAAAATCTTTCAAAAGTGGTTGTTTATCACCTTTTTTAAATTCTGAACCGAGAGAGATTCGTTATAGAGTTAAACTTCCGTCATATTTTTAATTTCCAAGGATTTTTTTTTTAAAATTTTTTTTTACAAGCGTCGTTAGTAAATTGCAACAATCGACATAACACAAAAGAGCCCGAGTACATTGCACCTCATAAGCACCTCTCGTGTCTGCGCTCTGTGGAGTTTTTTCCTGAATGGCATGCCATATGACGCCACTTCCACTCTTTGGCAGTGCTTCGCCCTGCAATCAGCGACTGTTAAAAAGTTACAAAACTGAACCAGAAGTCGAACCAGAGGCAGAGCAGCATCTGGCACTGTCCTGCGTCTGGTGGGAGGACAGATAAAAAAGGAGTGAGATGGAGACGGAGGTATGGGGGGGCCGAGGAAACATGACATCTTACAGAGGACAATTAGACCTGCTTCCTTTATTTAACACAAAATAAACATTTACCGAGCCTCAAGTTGTGATCATGGACGATAAGAAAGTTCATATAGTTTCATATATTTTGAAAATAAGTCAAAAATAATAAAAAACAAAACTGAAACAGGTTCTCAAGCATTCAGAAGTATTGTAGACTATTCTGTATTTGCACAGACGCACGCACACACCTGCTCCGTGGATAGAGACAACCACCCTGGAGCACAAGAGGATTACAAATCAAAGAAATATGAAAATATTGTTGCGAAAAAGTCAAAACTTATGAGCTCTTGCTTGGACGAACAGGAAAACACCTTTTTATTTTCAGTAACAGCACCCGCACACACTCTCCTTCCCCTCCCTCCCTCTCTCTACCCCCACCATACCCTCACCTTTTTTTGGAAGATGATATGGGGGACCCAGATGTTACATTTCACTGGCCAATGGTGAGCAGAGAGGGGCTGGATTGGTGTGCACTCCCGATGCCCCTTCTTTTAAAAACGCCTGAGCTCCTGTCTCCAACTCAGCAACTAAAACTCACATGAGAGAAAAGAGCAGCGGCTCTGCTCTGCTCGACCAGCAGCATCACTCACACCTGACAAACTGAAGTGGCTACGCTCAGCTGTATCTGAAGAATCAACCTTTTTTTTCATTTTTTAAATGTATGTTAATTCTGTAGGGGATCAGAGAAGAACAAGAAATCATCTGTAACTGAAGGTGTGGTACCATGTTGGGATTAAATAAGGTGGCACTCCTGCTGTGTGTCCTGGCTTCAGTGGCTCTGGGCCAAGGTAGGTGAAGACTGAAAATTCATCTCTTGTCCCTGCTGTTTTTAAAACTGGATGCTACACACAGAAAAATGACTTTAAATGTAAAGATACAGCTAAATGATACCTGAAAATACAGCCAGTATTATGGTGAATTTTGTCCTCCCTTGTCATTTTGGTAATCACATACTGTACCTAACAGGGCCAGTGTATGACTGCTCACACATGTGCACGGCAACTGACATAACTATAGAGTTTTCTAAGTTGACGGCATTTCCCTGAGGATGTCAGAGCGGGAGGACTGTGGTGGTGAGCTCATGATGTGATAAGGGTGTGTATTTGGCTGTGTGTGTTATTTTATAGACCACCTCAGTAGTCTTAATCTCTTTTGTTAAGTCACCAGCACATTTCACCACGGGGCTAATCAACAACACGTGGTGATAGAGGAGTCGAGGAGTCGAGGAGTCGAGGAGGAGGAGGAGGAGGAGGAGGAGGAGGAGGTCGCTGTGGTTTATTTTGAACATTGAAAAAGCTCTATTGATGACAGTGAAAGTGCTGCCGGTGGCTCAAAGTTCAGGTGGCACACGCTTTGTATTCATATTGACAAACTGCCACTGTCAGCAAGCAGAAGGCGTGCTTTAGAGGAAAAATTAGTATCTCAGCGCAGCCAGAGTGCTCCTCTGACTTTTATGATCTCACAAAGAGTCAATTCAAACTCACTTTTTTTACTCAGTTTTATTTACTGTTTTTATTGAGCTGGACCGTCAGCTCCAGGGCCGTTTCATGCTCTGTCTCTTCTCCCCCAAATTACGCTCTTATCACTGTGAAAGCTCGCCACTCTTCCTGAATGACACCAACAGCAGCAGTTTTTCCAAAGCTGTCACTTTCTGTCCACATTACAGCTGCTCCCTATTAACTTTTTTTTTTCTTTTTAAAGAAAAGGAGCTGGCGTTTCACAAAAGCAAACGAGTGTGAATAAACCATAATGGTCTCCATATCTCGCTGGACTTGGAGGCCTCAGAAGTCGTAAATGTCTCGCAGAGGCTGTGTGCCATTTGCTGATGAGTATATCAAAGACGGTTTGTTGAGGAGGAGAGGTAAATGTATATATGGTGATTCAGATTGACTCTGAACACTGTGTTACAGCCACAAGTGAAAGCCGGCCTTAAAATGGACTGTAAAATTTTACACTCGCCACGCTCCTTTAGCTGCACATCCACATCTTGCAGTAAGGTGGTGCATTTTGTCCTCACTTTACCCTCAACTGCAGTGCCAGCAGTCCCTAAAGATATAAACCCAGTCACCTTGGAAACAAGAAGCAATAATCACAAACCAGGCAACACATTTTCCCACCTGCTGGGTTTGCACTCGGCTAAATGAGAAAATGGAATAAAAGGAGGGATAAAGAGCGCAGGTAAAATGGCTTTACCGTCCCCTTTTTCCCGTCAACTTGGCCGGCGTGTCTCTCTTTCCTCTTAACTTTTTGATGGTCTCACCCCCCCCCACCGGATTCAGTCCACCACTGTCTCCCACTATCCATTTGTCTTCATCTGTTCCTCTTTTCTCTTTAATCTATCTCCCGCAGGAATTTCTTCACAAATACTTTCCCCACCTTTCTCCCCTCTGTCTCTCCCTCACTCCACCCCCTCCTTCGCCTTTCTCCACCTAGTCCTCCCTGCTCTCCTTCCGTCAAACGCTCTCTCCTTGCCTTGTTCTCTGTCACTCTCTCCACACACCTTGGAGCTTACAGATTTACGAGCTGTTTTCCTATTTGAAGGTGGCAGCTGGTGCCGGATGCCCACTGTAAGTCACAGGGGTACACTGTGGCATTACCACCTCTTAGCATAAGACTTGCTTTCAGCTCCAAGCTATTACAGTAATCTGCCCTCTTTAACTGGCGATCTTCTCTCCTGCTCCTAAGGAAAGCTAGGTGGTGTATGTGAGCAGCAGCTGGAAGGCCGCTATGAATCAGACAGAGGGGCTAGTTCTCCAGATGCTGACCACTGTCTGCTCCAAACACCGCTGTCTGGCCAGCTGACTTTAATGACTGAGACAGGGATTACAATGGATCAAAGAAAAAGGCGTAAATTCCTATTAATGACAACCTCCGAGCCATTTCACATCTTTCTTTCTTTTCTTCTATTTATGTGTACATGTGTGTGTGGGCGAGCCAAGATATTATTTATTGCAGGACTAATCAGTTGCTTTCAATTGAGCTATTTCCAGCTCCTGGCTTTGTCTACCTGTGTGCACAGGTGCAGAGGTTCAAGCAAGGACTTCCAGATATTTTCAAGGCGGAAATAACTCAACTCTGCCCAATCTTGTTTTTAATAGCGTCGGGGAGAAAATGCTTGAGAACACAAAGCCTTTGTTATACCTTTGTAAATCCTTAAATCATGTGGTTGATTTGCATCATTAGTTAATGTCAGGGACAAAATTGCCGTTTTTAATGAGGTACAGATGTTTTCGGGATCAGACTTGGATTTTTTTTGAGAACGCCGGGGTACAGGGAGAGATAGATCTAGAGAGAAAAAGCAGACTCCTCTGCAACCACACACACCTCAGCTAAGACGCTAGCCAAACACATAAACAGCTTCCATATGACATGGCAAACAGATCATCACATACGCAGGCCCACACACACATACACTCACATCAGTGAATTCATGCGTGAAATGCCGCTATGTTAGACTTCGTCGACAAATACTGTACAAGCTCGTTCTCTTAGCGAGCTTAACTTTGTCCAATAGGTTACATAACACAGGGAGGGGTGGGGTTCTCACGTCCTCTCCTTCTTGTAAGGACCTGGAATATCATAAACAGGACCCAGACCTTCTATTTAAGCCTTGTCTCCCTGCCAACATACATCTGGCATAACCATACTGTAATCTGACTAAAACCATTCTGGGTGCAACTTCATAAAGTCCCATATTCCAACCCCCCTCCTCCTCTTCCTCTCTTCAGCAGCGTTTTTATTAGATTCTGGCGAAGGCAGAAAACTCCCACTCAAAAGTGAAGCTGTCTCTTGCAATACCGCTGGTGATTATTAATAGAGGATTTGCCTTTGTGTAGCCTGGCTATAAGGACGCCGGCTGTATTTCAGAACGAGCCACTGTGACGTAAATCGTTAAACCCAAAGATAGTTTTCTAAAATAAGCATTGCAGTTGTCAAAACAGACTCACAGATGACAATGACTGCAGTGTGGAATACAAAGTAATCCAGTAGCTAAATTTCAGACATGATGCTGACATAGTCTGGCATTCAGGTGTCTCCCATGTGGCTATATGTGGAACTGAGATGCTAACCAGCCCACAGATGCAGCTCTGCTCTAATGTACTGGTGCCACTATAATGTATCTCGTTACCTTGTCCGTGGTTTACGAGGGTCGCAGCAAGGCTGGCTGAGGTTTATAATAGCCGTCACATGGCAGGGTTCAGGTCAAAGGTGAAACTGCAAGAGAAAAGTGATACAAAGGTGTGTGCATTTCACTATATGAGCTCAAAAAGTCAAAATCGTAAAAAGATTTGTGTGGGCAAAGCACAAAACCAAACCCACAAGGGCGAGACCGTCTTCTGAAGAAGAACGACAGCATCAGGTGTTTCAGCAAGTGACGTTCAAGTGACGAAGACCTCGGGCAGCCTTAGGAGTTATGATGAGAGCAAAGGAGGAAGTCAGGTGATGTTGTTACACTGACAAAGCGTACATCAAGGTGTCATTTGGTTGCTTGGCATCAACATCTTTGTTCCACGTAGACTTGCCGTCCAGCCACTACTGCACATAAACAGCATATTAAACACTGAACTTAAGTCCTTCTGAACTGATACACACTTTGGGAAATTAGTGTAAGGACATTGCTGCTCAATGGTAGGTTGTTCTCTTGGACGAGGTACAAACTTGATGTCAGAAATAAAAGTCTAACGCTTCCCTAAAAAACCAAACCAGCACAAAGTGTGGATTGCAACAGCCAAATGAAAGAACTGCACACTTTTGTTAAACTCCAGGGTCCGTAGCGCTAATTTCGTTCGGTAAGTAAGCATGTTCAAGCCATTGATGGCTCGCCAAAAGTCTACTGAGCATAGAAGGAGCATATGTATTTGTGTGTCCTGTATGTCTCTGTTGTCACTTTCCTTCTCCAAAAAAACTGCGAAACTTACCAGGAATGAAATGAGTGATACAGACCCTGGAATTTCCCAACAGTGTCCAGTTTGACCGCTGCTAACCACGCTTTGCACTGGTTTGTTTCTTTAGGGTAGTATTATACTTTTACCTCATCCAAGGGAACAACCTATCATTGAGCTGCAAGGTCCTAAAACTAATTTCGCCATTTTCCACAGTGTGTATCGTTTCAAGAGGGCCGAAGTTCAGAGTTTCATATGGCGTTTACATGCAGTAGTGGCTGGAAGTCAAAGTGGGACAAACAAGTCAATGTCTAGTAATCAAAAGACGCCTTGACGCACTATACAAGCTTTGTCGCTGTCACTATGTCAACAATGCCATTTCCTATCGAACAAAAGATGACTTGAAATGGCCTATAGGGAGGAGGAGGACAGTGTGGATGGATGGGTCAACTACGCATTGGACCTTAACATGGGAGACCATTGTTCGCCTATCGTTTCTGACAGACAGTCAACATTGTTTTGACCATGATCCCTCCATAACCTGAACCCCGTGGTAATTACTGGACACAGGTCCATGTGGAGAAAGGTCCCCCAGGCTGACTCCTTTTCCAGTAACTTTCCAATAATTAAAGAACAAAATAAGTTGTTTGTCCATGTTGAAGGAAACACCTAAGCGTTTTCTGATCTGAAGTTTTGGTTAGATTAAGGAACAAAAACGATTGGGTTCAATTGAGAGAGAGATTGTGATTTGGGTTAAAATACATACTTAAAATAAGTTTAGAGAACCATTGTTGTTATGGTTAGTTTGAACAATTGGAACGATTGCGGCCATGCTTTGAAAAAACAACAAAAAACAACAATATTGACTTGCGGTTGGAAATAGGAAACAAACATCAATATCCCCATGTTAAAGTCATTGTTTTGTTGACCCATTCATCCACACCCACCTCCTCCCAATCCTAACGTCATGCTCACACTGGACATGGGAGTGCTCTGATATGTCAATTGTCATGCAGCCGCCTGTCAGCAGTCACCTGGCTGATTCCACTCCTTCGCTCTTTTCTTTTCACACGTAGACTCTCTAGAGCTCTGTCTCTGTTTGGGTGTGTGTGTCCGCTTTTCTCTGTCGCTCTCTGTTTGGACACAACTGACAAATATGTGGAGGCACAGGATGCATCAGATAATTTATATCATCATATCTAATAAGGTTAATACTATATTATCTGTGTTTTTTCTTGCAAAATTCGCTTGTAGCTCACAGAAATAGATACTGAAACTATTGCTGCAGATTGTCAGCTGGCTGAGGAGCTCAGGGCCACGTTGCATCCCATGGAGGGCAGGGACGGCACATCTTGTCATTTTGGGGGACTTGTTGGTTCTATTAACTTAGCTGTAAAAAGTCAAAATTCTAAAGACATCTGTGTCAGCAAAACTCAAACCCAAACCCACACAGCACATGAACAAGGACAAACAGGATATACCGTACTAGCGGAGCACTTAAAGGTGGATTTTTTTTAGCACTAAAGAGGAAATCAAAAGTTCTAACCTCGCTCCCTCTGGCTTGAAAAACTTGCTCCCTGATGAGGTAAATTCCCTCACATACCAGCCGTATGAAGCAGTGCCCCAATAAAATCTCCCAGCTTTTAAAATTCATAAAGTGTTAACATGCCACTCAAAAGCACAATAAGCTCTGTGAGTCCGCCAAGGGGAGCCGGGCCAGTTCATACCAACCATAACTGAGGTCACTGCCCCGACATTTGCCTTGTGCTGAAGCTAATCTGGGTTTCCTCTTTTAACTTTCTAAAACCGTTAGTCACCCCATAAAACTCTAAGAATCGTGTGCTATTTTGTTTTCATTGTCAAACATCTTGAAATGATAATCAGGAGCCAAATGCTGTGTGCTGTGAACTCCCTTTGTTTTGGTGTGAGCGAGGACGAAATGTTATGCAACGAGGGCAGGAAAGCTGCTTTTTATACTTCTTGGAAATAAACGGAAGCTTCAGAGCGGGGAAGGGCAATTAATTAGCCACAAGTTTGAAAGTAAGTGTTAATTAAGTGAAACAAAAGGGGTGTTTGAGTCCAGCTTACTGAATACTTTGCCCCGGAAAGGGTTTTAAAGTTCTCAGAGTGAACATTAGTGAGTGCAGAATGTAAACACAACAGAGATGTTCTGTCCAGTGGCAGAAAGACTGTCTTTTGAGATGTAATCAGGACAGACACGGAATCCAGGAGACAAAAAGGAGAAGGGTGGAAAAACTATTTGATCTGATTTACTAAACTAAACCTGCGAGCAGAGCCACATCTGCCCAGCAGATCAGTGTGAAAGCATTTGCTTCTGTTTATCCAGCTATTCCAGTGTATCAGAGAGTCAAAGCCGGTGTGGAAACCTATCAATGGTTTTTAAAGCCAGGGGCATAAAAAAAACCTAACAACCATGAGGGTCAGCTGACTGTCTGTGTTACCCTAAAACTTCTGTAATAAATTTTTGGACAGTGGATCTTTGTTCTGTTGAGCCGCTATCCTTCTTTGCTAAATCTATCAAAAGGGTTGAAAGAAATGTGCTGGCTTTACAATAAAGAGCTGAAGTGAGCCGTAAAAAACCAGTGGGGACTGGGATCGATACTGGCCTCTGTGCTGGGAGTCTCTGCTCATAAACTCAGCGGTGTCTCTCCGAACGCGCTAAGTGCTTGCACGTAACACCACACACACTCACACACACACACACACACTGAGGCTACATAAGCTACTTTTTGTTTCTGTCGCGTACCATGACATTTTTTTTTTTCCACGCAGCCTGAATGAAACTCTGAGATTAAATGTCAAGCAAATAACTGCCATTTTTTTTTTTTAAACATAAAAAAGTAGTTCTGCAGGAAAAATGAATCATTAAACTTCAAAGCACAAGGGGAAACATGTCACGGTGCATGTTTCATGACTGACAGAGCCGAATTTAAAACGAATGCCAGGCTGAATATCTCTCTCTTTCTAAAGAGGCAACATTTGCCTTCACCTGAACCTGTTGTGCAGGCACATGCATGAAAGATGATAATCATGATGTAAGAATGACTCAGTGATACAGGCATGCTGTATGTGTGCGTATGGTATGCATATACATTATAATCATATATCATTAAGATAAAAAAATAAACAAGCAAAAGATTGCTGCATAAAAGTATGAATGTGTGTGTGTGTGTGTGTGTGTGTGTGTGTGTGCTCTGCGAGAGGTGATGGAGCGAGTTAAAGTGAAGCTTTCTGGCTCGACCGCTGGTGAACAGATGACTGCATGCACTGATTTGTCACAGCTGGAGCTTGATTAGCATCCTCAGCAGTGGCTGCTTGTTGATGGATCAAGAGAAGGGAGGACTGGAGGAGGACAAGCGGGGGGGGAGACAATAAGCTGAAGGATGGAAAGATGTGTGACAAAGAGCATGGGGGAGATGATGGATGGAGAGAATGTTCCACAGTTTGAAAGAAGAGGGGAGATGTCATCAAAACAGGAGGAGCAGCAGGAAGAAAAATCTACAGAAAGAGATGGAAAAGGCGCAGATAGGAGAGGAGATGGAAGAGGAGATGGAAGTAGAGAAATCACATTGATGAAAGCTTCCAAAAGGAGAAATAGAAAGTAATAGACAAAGCAGCAAACTATTTTTTTTTTTTTTTTTAGCATTTTCTCCCGTCTGAGTCGCCCAAGAAGCCTCGTCTTTGTTTCAGCACATTAAAAGGATTGAAGGCCTGTGACTGAAATGAGCAAAAATAAAACAATGGAGAGAATAAAAAAATAAAGTGCAGAGGGAGGGCGTGTAATTAGAAGAGCCTTCATGCCGTGAGGGAAAAAGCAAAACGTGCTCAGACTGCATCAGTGTGCACACGCCCACGACCATGTGCACATGGTTGTGTGAACGTGCGTACGAATACTGAAATAAGCTGCTGTCAAACATAACACACAATATAAGAGAGCTTAATCAGATTTTGATCATTTTGTTTCACTTTCTTTTTTCCAGTTTTGGTGCTGACGAAAACCTCATTTTCAGTAGAATCTTAACTTTAAAAATACACACACACATACACCTGCACATACATAGAACCCCGACATATCTTGGCATCATGTATTAGTGAAACTGAAACTAACTAACTAACTAACTAAAAATAGGCTTCTGAGGGAATCAGAGAAGTGAATACATGTATTGATATAAAATATGTGATTGAATAGCCTTTTGTGTGCTGCTTATATATCCAGATGTTTTCCTTCCTGTTTGCAGGCCCCGTGAGGAGCAGGAGTCAGTCAGACCGGAGCAGGAGAGTGGCCCTCAACTTGTTCACTGACACACAGACAACAGGTACTCAATCCATCAGCAGCGACACGCAGAGCTGATTGCATGTCAAACTGTGAGGCAACAGACAACTGTGTGAAATGAGAGGGACAGGTGTGCACCGGTGCTCTAAAAACAACAGGAAGTTGATTATTTGTCACGTTAATTAACGCGGTCAGCAGTAGGAGCTGAGGTTTTGATGACTTGACATCCATTTTCTGGAACACAAGTGCACCAGCATTAGTCTGTGTCCAGATTATTGTCCCATCACCTCAGTGCACCCTGCAGTCCACAAGAGAATTTTATTTATCAGAGTGATGTATCACTCCGTGAACGAAAAAAAAAAAAAAAAATCATCTGCATGTTGCTAACGCATTCTTTAGTTATGAATCCCTCATATTTCTCCTGAGGCCATGCTCAGGTTTCAGAACATGCAGCAGACTAAAAAATCAGACAATATGCCTCATCAGTAAGGCCAGGGGGCTTGGAAAGAACCTGGACAATGCAAAGCTCCCTGGGGTGTATGAAGTCAGTTTCAAATGGTGGTAGCAGACCTCCTCTTAAACTTTGTAACCCATCCCTGCTGTTTTTTCTCTGCTGCTTTCTCTTGGTTCTGACCCATGCCTCCCCTCCATGTAAGATCAGCTCCAACCCCCCCATTCCCCTTCCTTATTTCTGGACCCTGAGAATTGTTTTCTTTCTGGCTTTTTCTAATGCTCAGTGGTTTTGGTTTTCATCCATGTCTCCCCTCCACGTGCCTCCAGGCGTGACGGAGTGGACGTCTTGGTTCAACATCGACCATCCTGGAGGGAATGGAGACTATGAGCGCCTGGAGGCGATCCGTTTCTATTACAGGGAGAGGGTCTGTGCTCGGCCCACGGCCATGGAGGCTCGCACTACAGACTGGGTGGCAGCGGCAGACACCGGAGAAGTGGTCCACTCCAGTCTGGAGAAGGGCTTCTGGTGCATCAACAGGGAACAGCCCCAGGGCCGCATCTGCTCCAACTACCACGTCCGCTTTCAGTGTCCCCCAGGTAGCTCTGACGATAGCTGTTCAAGGATGTGCAAGCTGTCCCTTCACAGATATGAACATTTAGCCAAACACATGCATGAATACATATTTCACATGCATGTAAGCTGGCTACAGCAAAGCATCATCCAGTGTAAATGCTTTTGGCGGTTTACTGCCTGCCATGTGAAATAATGTGTTTCTTATTTCCTAGTCTTGATTCTGCTTGCAAAGAGCAAGACATAATCCCAGCTTTGCTCAAGATGTCTCACTCAGTTCTTCAATGTGTGGGTTTAGTGCAGAGCTACTGGACTGACTGGAGTGAGTGGGGCCCCTGTTCAACCACAGTTTGTGACGACGTGGGCATTCAAGTCCGCCAGAGGAAATGTGTGAACACCCAGCCCATGCCTCTCCTGTTGGTGCCAGCATGCCAGGGTCACCACTCAGAAAGGAGGGAGTGCTCCAATCCTCCATGTACAGGTGAGAATCACGAGATTTAGCTTTTAGCATTGAAGCTCCTCACTCATGACTGGGAGCACCATGGTCAGCTGTGATACACATTACCTTATGTCTTTGTTTAAAGCCTTTATAAAGACTGTGAAAGCAACGGAAACACAGAAATGAAAATAACCTCATGTATAGTCTCGTTTTGCACTGAACTGAAAAGAACAGCTTGAACCAGCACCAAAGTACATGCACTACATAGTCACAGAAAACTAATCTTTCACTGAACTAAACAATACAATTTGATTCACCAAAGTCATTCCACCTCTAAAGCTAAATTCCTCACAGCTATACACTGATCAGCCAAAACATTAAAACCACTGGTGGCTGGACTGAATGACACTGACCATCTTATTACAATAAAATGTTCTGCTGGGAAACCTTGGGTCCTGGCATTCATGTGGATGCCACCTGACACGTTTCACAAACCCAATAACTGTTGCAAACCAATGGCAATGGCACTCCCCAATGGCAGAGGGCCCCCAGCAGGACAATGAACCATACCACATGGCAAAACTGTTCGTGACAAAGAGCTTAAAGGGCCAGTGTGTAAAATGGGTTGAAAACAGTGACATCAGTGGTCAAATTCTAGATTGCAGGGCTCACTCGCTCACCCCTCTTGTCGGGTAAATGACGGTGGCCTCGTAGGGACAAAAAGCCTTGCGCACGAGTTTTTCAGGAGTAGGTCTATCTAGCGACAAAGTGAATATTTATTTAGAAATCTAAACCATGTTACGATATTGTAATGAATCCCTCACGAGCAGGAAACCAGAGGAGCGTTCGGGAAAAAGGCCAGTTTATTTGAGCACTCCAAAAACTCCGGTAACACTCCAGGGGGTAAAAGACTCCGTCCCAAACTCTGACTCTTCTAGCATAACAGACACACTTCATAACTTCACACACATACTCGTTTACCATAGCGAGTGGGGACCCCCCTCCCCTCTCTGCTCCACCAATCTCCAGCCCGCACACTGACTGACAGTGTAGCCGGTAAACAGAGCTCAGCTGTTTATTTAGCCTAGCAATATCTCCGGACTATAGTAGCTGCAATAGACGACTTTGAACGCGATTTTGAAGAGTTTCTTGTAGCGGACACAGACCCAGAGCCATACCTGTTTGAGCCGGAGCATACAGATGAGGAACTCCATGTGTTTGATGCTGAGCGGGCGAGAAGAGAGGCTGAATGCACAGAATGGGATTCGGTGCTACTGCTACCATCGCTGGGGACATATATCATCAGGAGGAAAAGTGCCGCAGAGAGTGCATCACAAGGAGTGAAGTTGCGTCTTCTTTTCCTCGCAGATGACGGTTCGGGTTCATTCTCTCCTGTTGCGTGGTAAGTGTGGTCCATTCGCAAACTTTATAACTAAAAAAACTTTTCACTACTCTCTATCGATGAACTACTAACACTCTGCTGTTTCCTCCTCCTTCTTCCTTCCTTCCACTGTCTTCGTTGGTTCATTTATACACGCAAAACGCGTTCTCTGGCTGGCTGGATTGTCCGCTCGGTCTGCCTTACATACATGGCGGCGCAAGATGGCAACCTCTCTAAAGCAAGTAGCTGGCTCGGCTAGCGGAAGTATATATATATATATATATATATATATATAAAAGCATAATTATAAGGCTACAAAAACCAAATGAATTTTATTTTATATCGATTATACACTTGTATAAACATATTAATGGGTAGAATATTCAGATTCAGATTCAGATTGACAATAAACCATGCCAAATATTACACACTGGCCCTTTAAGGAGTCGTCCTGGCCTAAAAATTCCCCAGATCTTGATCTCATTGAGCATTCATGAGGCGTGGCGGTACCCCAGAGGTAGCCCTGATCCATGGTGGGGCGTCCTTAGATGGAACTTGGCTCTGACCTATTGAGGCATGGACACAGGACCTCTGGGGGTGTCCTGTGGTATCTGGCACCAGGGCATTGGCAGCAGATCCTTTGAGGCCTGTGGGTTATGAGGTGGGGTACTGGCACATCTCACATATTCTCAATCAGATTGGGATCTGAGGAATTTGTAGGCCAAGTCGACACCTTGAGCTCTCTGTCACATTCCTCAGGCCATACTTAAACGGTTGTTTAGCGATGTGGTATGATGCATTGTCCTGCTGGGAGGGTCACAGCCACTGGGGACTGCCGTTGCCATGAGGGGGTGTACCTGGTATGCAACAGTGTTTGGGTGGGTGTGGCATGTCAGGTGGCATCCAAATGAGAAGCAGAACAGCAGAACATTGCCTTGTTACAAGATGATTTATGTTGTTCACCTCATCTGTACTTGCCATTTCCTGCTGTATGGTTCTATCTAACACAGGCTCTGCCCTCTACTGGACTTAATGATAAATACTGTCCTTCAATCACGAGCATGTATTCACCCACTGAAATTTGCATAAATGCAGCCTCCTAATTAGGACACGTCTACCTGAATATGTACATACCCCAAAGTATATATATACGGCAGTAAAGACTGATTTGCCCACTGATACACCTACAATATCCCATGCTCCTTGATGACCCAGGAGATGTGGTGTGCTTTTGCTTGTCTTTCTACCCCTGTAAGGATCCGCCATGGCTCCACCTGTGTTGGCTGGGGCCCCCTACCTCTTCACTACAGGCACCTAAGTTATAAAGAAGTAAGCAGCCTGTGGCGACTAACTTTTAGCCAGTCAGAATCAGTGTGGCTGAGTCGATGTTATGGGATGGGGCGTTCATTCACTGGGCTCCACCCACTGTACCCATAGGTCTTTAAGCACTGGCAGAGCCCTCTCCCTAGGGACCCTCCCTTGCTAAAGAGAGTGTAGGATGGCTGACAGCAATATTATTATGTTCTGCCTTATACAGTATACAGTGGGCTCCACAAGTTGGATAGGTATGTCCTGATTGGCCAGCTACATTTATGCAAATTTCAGTGGGAGAATGCATGCTCTAGATTTGAGAGTATTACCAAGCCCCCAGGAACAGCAGCGAGCTCTGAAGCCAATTTTCGTAGATGCTAGAAAGTGGAATTACAACTCCTGAGTCCATCACTTAATGCCATCGGGCCCAAAAACACTGAGCATCACAACCCCACAAAATGGCTTGTATTGCTATCAGGATTTAATTCATTTGGTTCAAAGACATTTTGAAAGTCTAGAGGAGCTTCAACATTGAATCATTTTATCTCCATTCAAGTTAGCGGAGCGCTCAACCAGAAGTAGCTGGCTCGGCTAGCGGAAGTGTCTAGTGCCTTTACTCTGAGGGTCCAATGATGCAGAAGCAGCGATGGTAATCTGGGTAATTTCTTACAACAGAAATAAACCTTTTTTGGCGTCATGTGCCACTGAGCAACTTTGTTAGGAATAAATAGGGTCCCACCTCCAATGCTGTCTCCAGGTCACTTAATAAATCCATCTGTATTACCCATAGGGTCCAGTAGAGGGCTCAGCCTGTGCTAATAGAACAAGGATTACAATATTGTAACCTCTGTTTCAAGGTGAACCCTCCAGAGCAGAACTTCTGCTAAAGAGAACTTTACAATACTCAGTTAAGTGTTCTTGATTGAACAATTTGTAATCAGCGGTCTTTAAACTGCAGCTATATAATCAGCTGTCTTATATTTTCATGCCCACAATACTGTATAATTGCAGCATTTACTAATTTTCAATGTATTGTCCTTTGTACTCGGGGCGCCCGTGCACATGAGAGTTAACAAGTTTCTGTATCAGTCTGTATAAGTTTTAAATAACAGAAAAAAACTCACATCATTCCTGTCTCTCTGTGTGATCAGCCAAGTGGGGTCCATGGGGTCGGTGGGGAACTTGTTCAGTGACCTGTGGTGGAGGCCGCAGGATTAGGAGGAGGACTTGTGTGAGGAGCTCAGTGACAGTTCAGTGTAACGGACGGCCTGTTGAAGTACAGAAGTGTGGAAAGAGTCCATGCCCAGGTATTCTGAGTCTATGCTGTAAAAAGTTGTATAATCATTCCTTCAATGAGTTATGTGCTCACATCTCTGTCTTTCTCCCAACAGCCAAATGTCAGCTCGTGTGCACAGAGGGCCGTCCCAATGAGGAGTGCAACCAGTGTACGTGTGACGACCACGTGTTGCACGGAGAAGTCCACAGTGTGACTGGTGTCCCTGTGGCAGGAGCCTGGGTGGCGCTGGCCAGCCACCCCAAGGTGATCCGTGCCCGTACAGATGCCAAAGGTCAGTTCAGGCTCACAGGCATCTGCTCCTCCAGCCCGACCTTGATCTCCATCAGGAAGGAGAAGTTTGCCCCCATCACTGTCTCCTCCTCCAGCAACACCACAGGGTTGTCCTGGGTACGGGCTGTCCTTAAATCAGCCGGTGAGTGCTAATAAAAAAGATTACTATTAAAAGAACATCTGTTTTATTGATGTCTGCTGCTTTCAATCGACCCAAAAACAAAGTAAGTTAGTAGTATCATTTTTTAATTTAAGTTATTCTTGGCTATTTCTTAAAAGAGCTGTTTTCATTTTCAAGTAAGACTTTTCTTTATTGTCATTATAACCATTCTGCAGAGCCAGTAAATCCTCCAATCACATTCTCAGACGTTAGAAAACAGGAAATTGACAAAGCTACAACATAAACAGTCTGGCCTATTATAAGACTTCACATTGTCTGGAGCACTTACTTGCTTTGTTGCATGGAGACCAAATAAAAATAGGCCAGTGCTGCTTTTGAAAGAGTAATCCCCTCAACAATAATTTTTCATAAGCACAGGGACCAATGTGAAAATAAAATGTAACGTCTGACTGAGTTTTATGAGGTCTCAAAACTCTGCGGCACCATTCACAACAGTCAGAGGAAGTTCTTGAGGTTTTGCTCCTTTCCGCTTTCCACAGAGAAGCCGTACATTGTGAAGCACCCTGAGGACAAAGTGCGTTTTGAGGGAGGACGAGTGATGTTGTGCTGCAAGGCAACGGGATCACCAACACCTGACAAATACTACTGGTGAGATGAATACTTGCGCCGGCACACAGTTAATCACAGAAACAGCGAGCAGCAGAGTGATTATTTTTACATATTGTGAAATTAATATTCGGAGCTCCCTAAAAATTCAATTTCCTTTTTTTATTGTTAAAACAGCATTAATCAGTTACTTTAACAGGTTTTGGTCCCCAACTGCCCCTGAGAAACATGTCTCTTCTGCTGCCAAATACTCCCTTAAGTTCGCCAGTTAGTAGCTTACTCCCTTCTGCTGCTTGGTGTAGGGCGGCAATGGGGTTATCAATTTTTTGGTTGAAAACATCTGCCTGCTTCGGGTGAAAAACAACATTGATGAGAGCCGTGAGACTGAACCATAAGTCAGACAAGTTGAAATAAAGCACTGCCTTGAAAACCAAAAAAATGAGCTGTAAGATGATAATAAGGGCTGAGGGGAACTGCTGAATTGGGTGATATTGGGTTCATCACTAGAAGAAACCCCTTTCACATAACATTTCCAAAGTGATCTCATCCCTACTTCATATTCTTGACGCTTGGGCAAAAGCCCTCTGCATAACTGTAATAACAGCCTTTTGCATTGTATCATGACGCAGAAGGGGTCGCCATTACGTCATGTGAGTCGACTCACGTGACCAAGAAAAGGTCAGTGGTTAGGTTTTGGCAACAAAACTACTTGGTTAGGGTTAGGAAAAGATTGTGGTTAGTCACGAGTCGACTCACGTATCTTCCAACTTATGTGAGAAAATAACTGAGTGTTAACTTTTAGTTTCACATGGGAAAGACATACCGGTCTCCTGGGTTGAAGTTGTGTACTTGTTATTAATGCGATGCCGAGGACACTACCCAAGCTGCTTATTTTGATGCGCTAGAAGTAAATCCAGGCGGACATTTAATTTCATTCATTGCTAATATCTATTACTGTTTAGTGTAGCTGAAGGAGCCATACACATGCCGTGTTTAGCGCGCGCTTCATTGTTTTCAATGACAACGCAAGACAGGCACGCTGCAACACCAGAGCAACGGCGTTGTGGCGTGCATGCGTTCCCAGGCGCCTATTTTTTAGGGTGCGACAGCTGCGCCCTGAGATAAACAAAGTTCAACTTTTGGAAATAGCAGCGTGCACAACGTCACATGACGAGGAACAAGCAATCACAGCCGACAGATATCTTTCCCTTCTTCTGTAAATATCAGTCTGTAGTTAAAGTGGAAAAGTTGATAATTTTGGTGCAGGGCTGCCAGAGCCTTACATCTGTCCCATGGACGATATGCCCACACACGATAGGCCTACACACAAACAGCACCTGAAGGATGATCAGCTCTGCACTCGGGATTTCAGGTACATAGGCTACAATCCAGTTCTTGTTGAGGTTGCTTAGCAACCTCAGATACAACCTACTGCCAGCCAGCCCCCAACCTTTCGTTTTCCAGGCAGTTATAGACGCGCCATGTGTTCGGCCACTAATACATCAATATCAGAACTCATTTTCCCATATTTTTAAGTGATAAGTGACACATCATCAACATATTACATACATTTTACATACTTTATACACCTTAATAAATTGTTGTATACAGCTATCAGCATTTTTAACATTTTTTTTTTTTTTTTTTTTAACTTTTTTTCCTTAAATATCTCTGTAACTATTTGTCAAGGTACCACAATGGGACCCTGCTGGACAGGAGAGTGTACAAGTATGAAGAGGACCTTGTACTGTGGGATCTAAAGCCGGAGCAGACAGGGGAGTACTACTGCAAAACTAGCAGCCCTGCAGGCAGCATCAAGTCCTCTCCAGCCCTTCTCACTGTGATTGGTATGTAGAGTCTTGAGCCTCGTAACATCAGTCGCATAGCTAAAGATCTCACTATCTATTGTATAGTGCTTGAAATCACATTAACCTGCTGGTCTGATGACAGTTTTGATGATACAAACTAGTGCTAGTAAACTGTTACATACGTCAAAGCTGTGAAGAAAAACATTTCTATTTGGTCTGAGATTGTTCTCACTGTCAAAAAGATACAAAAGCTCCCTTCTAGTCAGTGATGTAATGTAAACCATAATTCATCATCATCAGACTGGAAAGAAAATAATTTACTATGATGATAGTGGCACATAGGGATTATTGCTTGGGATGGCTGCTATCCCAGTGCATTGACAATGACGTGTGTACTCAAAGTTCTGCACAGATTCAAGTACAACCGCTGACAAAAAGCAAACAACCGCAATTTATTTTAGTGTATAAAGAGCAGCTGCCCCAGAGCTTGAATACACATTTTAAGGGGCATGTCAGCGTTAAGCTCCAACCGAGTCATCCACAAGCCATGTCCATGCATAAAGAGGGATTCAAACAAAACCACAGTGTCCTACAGCTGGGTGAGGGAGAAAAGTCAGCTAATAGACTGTCTGTCACTGGAAAAAAACTATTACAGGCAAAGAAAATAGGAAAATAAAAATATCAGGGCTCGCATAACCTGGCTGCGCATGGAGCAGTACGTTTTTATTATGTTGACATTGGTCAAAGCTACGGCTTCCTAGGGATGCTTTATTGTGTGCAATGGCTCTGGACACTGTAAAACCTCAAACCCAATTTCTCCAGAACACCCGGTGTTGAGATGAAATCCACAATTGCAAATAAATCCTGTTTCTTTTCTCTCTCTGAGTCAGACAAGTATGCGTTTCCACATCTGCGTGGGAGAGCTACACATTGCTTATATCCTTTAGGTGCTTGTTAGCTAAGACACAGATTAACGGACAAGGTATTCATGGAAGAGTGCTAAAGTAATCTATCCCAGGCCACTGACAAATTCCAGCACTCCAAAAGCCATTATGGCAGAACACGCTGTATGTGTGCAGGACACCTGTGCCTCTGAGCAGAAAAACTTACTCCCACTCTTTTAACAGTGCAGGTTCTTCTCACATTTTACACTACACAGAAGTTTGATTTGATTTACCATAAAATGCGTCAACCACACTTCACACAGGTGACTAGGAGGTACATAATTAATTATCAAAGAAACCCCAAGGCCCTCATGGTTAAGCCATCAGCAGTAGAGTAATGGTAATGGCCATCAGCAGCAGAGTAATGGTGTTTCAAACACATCACGCTCTTCCATGTGTCTGCGATTATAGACTTACTTGGGAGATTGGGAGCTTAACAGGGATACTTGACTATAAGCTCAACCATGATATCATGCACATGGACTATTCTGCCAATGTCTCAGTGAACAAAAAATCTTTCTTTCCAACTCCCATCTGGATGGTTGGTAAATAAATGTTCTCTTCAACTTCATGTCTAATTACCCTTTCATGCACATTTCACAGTCCAACTTGGCCACTCACAGGTACTTTCAAGCCATGCAGACACTGTGTGTGTGTATATGCATAAATTATGTGTGTGTTTGTGCATCCACTTCTGCATACAGGGCAGAAATAGTATCTTTTAAATACTCAATAGGCAAGTTCCAATTTATTCACTATGCACTTGTCACGATTCAGGTCTAAGGCAGGACAAATTGTGGAGACCTTAAATGACTCTTCAAAGTAGAATACATTTATTCAAAGCTAAATTAGGTATGAGGTCAGTTCATTGGCAATGTGTGAACAAAGAAAAAGATAACTTAAGTCCCACTAAACCAAGTAACCCAGAGAGGAGAAAGAGACTGACTGCTAAGGCATCTATGTAAATAGATGAGCAGTCACACCAACTCAGGTGTCAGCCATCACTCCTAATGAGCTGCTCTCCAGAACCCAGCAACCAATTCAGCAGGAAATGGGTCTTGAGGCCAAGGGCCGTCACAAATTGTCCTACTCCACTCATGCAGTGATATACAATTATCCAGTACCCCACAATTTTATAATAACAATCAACAGATTTGAGAGGCTTTCAAGATGTTAAAGAAAGCAGAACTTCAACAGTTGCGTCTTTAACATGTCAAGTCTATGTTCATTCTGGCACTGAGAAAAAGTCTTTCATGTTTTATGTATATCAGATGACCAAATTATCTTTTATAATGTGTCGTGTGAATGCTTATTTAACACAATTTATTGTGTGATTCACAGCAAAAGGAAAGCCAGCATGCAACCCCACCCCTGAGACGCACCTCATCAGACTGCCGATAGACTGTGTTCAACCAGGGACTGACTCAATGCACTACAACGCTGGCCGTTGTCCTCACAACAAATGTGCTGGCTCACTAGACTTTGATATGCGCTGCAGAGATGGAGCTGGGTTCTGCTGTGGGGTCAAAACTATGGAAAGTCGGATCATTGACTGCGGGAGCTATAGCCTCCCTATCAAGGCTGTGTCAGAATGCAGTTGTCAGAAGTGTGTGCAGCCCACTGTGCTGGTTCGTGGCAGAGTGGTCACAGCTGACAATGGTGAGCCTCTGCGTTTTGGGCACATGTACATTGGTAAAGAGAGGGTGGGCACCACTGGATACCAAGGAGGTTTCACATTGCAAATTACTCCTGATACTCAGAGATTAGTGGTAAATTTTGTTGACCCCACTGAGAAGTTTCTTGACACTCCTAAGGTGTTCATCCTTGATAAGAAAGGTGGGTCCATCTACCACGATGTGAAGGTAATGAGGAAGCAGACACCCATTGATATCAATGCTGGAGAGACCAACTCTATTAACCTAGGGGAAATTGAAGGGGAAGACCCCATTGGTCAGTTGGTTATTCCACCCAACTCCTTCCACAAGGACAATGGAGAAGTCTATGAGGGCACTGTGAAAGCAAGCGTCACATTCATTGACCCAAGAAATATCACCACTGCAGCTGCGGCCCCTGGGGATCTCAACTTTGTTGATGATGAGGGTGACATGCTCCCTTTGAGGACCTATGGCATGTTCTCTGTAGACTTCAGAGATGAGACCAACAAGGAGATGCTCGGAGCTGGAGCTGTTCAACTCCTCCTCGACACGCAGCACGTCAAAATGCAAGAGCACATTCCCAAAATGAAACTGTGGTCTTTAAATCCAGACACAGGAGTCTGGGAAGAGGAGAGTGGCTTCTCCTACACCACAACAACTACTGGTGGTCATGGGCGAAGCAAACGAGAGGAGCGCACATTCCTCATAGGCAACATGGAGATCAGAGAACGAAGGCTCTTCAATTTAGACGTGCCTGAAAACAGACGCTGCTACGTCAAAGTCCGTGCCTACATGAGTGACAAATTCCTACCTAGTGAACAGCTGGAGGGTGTTGTGATCAGCTTGATAAACCTAGAACCCAAACCTGGTTATTCTTCTAATCCGAGGGCATGGGGGCGTTTTGACAGCGTCATCACTGGACCCAACGGAGCCTGTTTACCAGCTTTCTGTGATGCCCAAAGGGCCGATGCTTACACAGCTTATGTCACAGCAATGATGGGTGGGGAAGAACTGGAGGCAGCTCCCTCTTCCCCTAAGATGAATCCAAATATCATTGGAGTATCTCAGCCATATCTGGATAAAATAGACTACCAGCGCTCAGATCACGAAGATCCAGCTTTGAAGAAAACAGCCTTCAGAATCAACTTGGCAAAGCCTAACCAAAATAATCTTGATGAAACCAATGGGCCAATATATCCCTATCAGAATTTGATAGGTTGTGAGAACGCCCCTTTTGATGCAAATCATTTCAGATTCTTCAGAGTGGAAAAGGACAAGTATGAATACAATGTTGTTCCCTTTGAGGAGAATGATTTGACAACCTGGACAGGAGATTACCTTTCCTGGTGGCCTAATCCCCAGGAGTTTAGAGCATGCTTCATTAAGGTCAAGATCCATGGACAGAAGGAAGTGATGGTCAGGTCGAGGAATCTTGGAGGAACACACCGGGAAACTAAAGGCAAACTTTATGGCATAAGAGACATTCGCAGCACCCGGGACATGCGAGAGGCCAACACTTCAGCAGCCTGTGTAGAGTTCAAATGTAGTGGCATGTTGTTTGATCAAGCTGAGGTTGACAGATCCATCATATCAGTCCTTCCACAGGGGAACTGTCGCCGGACTGGCACCAACAGCCTCCTGCAAGAGTATCTCATCAAACATCCACCAGTCGCTCACAACAATGATTCCCATGGATTCACCATGCTAGCCCCTGTTGATCCTTTGGGACACAACTATGGCATCTACACAGTCACAGACCAGAACCCCAGGGTGGCCAAGGAGATCGCTATAGGCCGCTGCTTTGACGGCACCTCAGATGGTTTCTCCAGGGAGATGAAGTCAGACTCTGGGGTGGCGTTGACCTTCAGTTGTCCAGAGAGGAAAATTAGCAGAGAAAGCCTTTTCCAACGTCTGCAGACCAACCCGGGTCAGACTTTGTCTCAGATGGCAAGGGACATGAGGGAGTCGGAGGGTCTGCAGGTGCAAAGATTACCCTCTCAGATTGTGGCTTATCCTTCAGAGCAGCGGGGCAGGACCCAGAGTCGCAGAGTCACCTCTACAACCAGGAGGAGATTGTCCATGCGCACACAGCAACGCCAATAGATGCTTCAAGGTAGGTAAGTTCAGATAAGATAATGAGATATCATTGAATACATTTACATGCACAAAATATTTCATTTTTTGCCCTTATTCTGAAAAATACAATATTCCCACTAAGCTGTTTTCATTGCAAATGGAAATGAATATTGCACTAATAATCCTTTATACATGCAGCCATGTGTACAAATTATTGGGCCCTAACATGCGTCAAAATATTGAAGAGTGGAAAAGATGCGGCGGCTTTTCATTTTGCTTCTTTGCATCAAATTGGGATTTTTTTCAAAGTTTCCTTACTGAGACAGACTTGTTGGACCATGCGAACACAGCCTCCCTCTTTCATTCCTTTGTTATTCGCCCAAACCCAAAAACCTGTTGATAGCCAAGTTTTTCATAATATTTAAAAGTAGATGTGTTTCTTCCGACCAGAAATGTGGGCTTTTCTTTTGGGCGTACACCAGCCTTGCAAACTGTTGCCGAGTTGGTTTATGTACAAATTATCCATGCTAATGCACAGAAATGACCGGTCAAAACCCCAAATGAGATGCATATTCCAAATGTGCTGTATACATATAAAAAGAATACGATAAAAACCCAAATCATACCGGCATATTCCACGTATTAATCAGATAATGCTAAATTCTGAAAAAGGCCTATTTCGAAATATGTAATTGAAATATGCTGTTTACACCATCCATATCAAATTCAGAATATAGTCATATCCGCAGAAATAGTGGAATATTAGCATTCATAGTGACAGTAATATCACACTAATTTATATGTTCTTTCTTTTTCACTTGTAGGTCTTTTGTCAAGACTGATATGATGTCACCAAGATGAGAAAGTTAAAGTCGGCCATCTGCTGATGGGTATGAACTCCCTCCTGAATATGGAAACCACGAAACTGAGGCAGACAGCAATTCAGCAAAATCAAAGAGACTTATAGAAGATAATCATTAGACTTTTACTTACTTGAAGGCTTTGGTATGTCAATTATTAATTCCTTTCCCTCCTAAAAGACATGAATCATTTGATTATATGTAACGCAGTGACTGGCATTTGCTTTATTAGTTTTGGTCTACTTTTATGTATGAAAAGACTAAATTGATGTTTGAGAACGTAACTTTTATAGTTCCAATTTGTGGCATTCCACTTTCCCCATGGTGGGTATTTTTCTTTTGCTGACATCTCTCAACGCTTGAGTTGAAACCAAACCTCCAGAAACCGTAAATACTACGCCAGGCCCCAAACACTTCATAATTGGCCATTGCTTTCCACCGAACTTCTCCTCACGATCAGAAAGAAACCAGCTTGAGGTCCTTGTCGTCTGCAGCAGACACTGAGCCCTTTTTCTACAAACTGGGAAACTCTCTCCACCAAGAGGAGGCTCGCACAAAAGAGACGCATGCAGCGGGGTGAGGCATGCCACCCAGGGAACAGAGGATGTTTTCAGTCATGCTTCTTAATGTTTTTCATTTGCATGCCACATTGCCAACTGTGACTCAGCCAAACGTCCTTTCACACCTACTTAGAATGTGCAAGACCAAGGCCTCTGCCAAGACAAGCATGGATCCCACTAGTGGCAGGTGGTCTGAAATGTGGATAGTTGATTGAGAGGTATGACATAATTTCCTTTTGTCCTCTGAACATTCCAAATTAGTACCACCAAAGAAAATGTTACTCAAATATATATTTCCAAATATCTCACTTTCACAGACACCATTACAGAGACTCTTTCAGGGTCTAAACTGACTTTTTTTTTTTCATTGTTGTTTTTGGGTAATGTGCTTAAGAGCTGCCGTTGTATCTTGAAGTGCAATAACTATATAATTTAACTTAAGAATGATCAGCATGTAATAAACTACTACAGTACGTAAAAAGTGCTGCTGGTGACTAAAGCAACAACTCCTTCAGTACGTGTGGCAGATAGTGCGGTTGAGGTGTACGAGATCTTGCACAGGACTCATTTGAAGCAAATAATTTAACTGCTATGTAATCGCTCTTCAACTCTCTGAGCTGCGTAGAATCTATTAACCTTTTCATACTTTGCTGCATGACTCAGTTCATTTTACAATTTGTACACCACAGTAATCTTTTCAATTTCAGAGAGCAATCTTGTAAGAGGGAGTTAAAACTCTCAGCGGAGCCTTCTCTTCATTAACAAAACCCACTGTATGATTCTTACACGAGTCTGATAATTAAAAAGTAACACACTTGTGAATTTACTGGCCATGTTTTTATAAATCTTGTCTTTGTGACAATATAAGTACCTTTAAAGTTCACATCTTGATACTGCAGATACTGAGACAGAATATTAGACTTAGAAAACATATATTAGGTTATTTTAATCGAGGCTGGTGATGGGGAGAAACCTCCCTCTGCGATAAAGGCACCAAACTTGTTTATCTGCAAAACGGGCACTTGCAGACCCATGGGAAAAGCTCTCCAAGCTGAACTAATCCAAAACCATATCAGGGGGGACCGTGGTCCGTGGAGAAACCAGGAGAGCATGACAAGTAAATATAAGCCTGCTGTTAATTAGAAAAATAAATTACAGAATCTCCTGGGAACTATTTAAACAGTTTGCCCGACTTTCACAAACAGCCAACAGTTAATTTCCACCTACACAGGATGAAGTTAAGTAATCAACACTATACAGAGCCCAAGAGGATTATGGTCACATATTTACAATTAAAATGGCAACCAGCCCACTGTACAGGTAACTTCATTTAAGCTTAATGACATTTTTAATTCTAATGTACAACAGATTTATTGTTTAATGTGTGCTAAAAGGTGCTAATGTAAAGTTGTATGTATAAATGCAAACTATATATTGTAACCTTACACTTGTGCTTAGCCCCACATTGAAAAACAATCTCTCCCCATTATGTATATGAGCAGCACACTCCAGAAAAACACTCAAAGACAGAGCAGTATCGGGCAACAACACGTGGTACCTTTGCCTTTATCACTGACCTCTCTAATCACAGGCCTGTGGGCCGTCCGCAACTCCACTGTTCAGATCTCCAGATGAAAACAAACATCTCCCTGCAGCAGATGTAGCATCCACCCTGTGAAAAAAAGAGATGATGATTGAATCCAGGTGTGGGAAGAGATAAGTCCTGTAAAAATGCAATGGTTGTGTGAGGTCAGCTGAGGAGGCCCAACAGCTGTAGAGCAACTGGAGGAAATGTTAGACCAAAGACATCAAGAGAAATAAGAGCGAGATTATCTCATGATGGATTTAATCATTTTTGGGGAACTGTTTGGTGAAGGGAAAAAGGGAAGGGAAAATATTAGTGGTCTTTGGCCCCACAGTCCATCACTTACAGAATCTCAGGCTCCGAAAGTGGTTGCACATGGAAGAATGCGGGTTTTTTGAGGAGAATGCTTTGACAGAAGAATTGGCTTATTCATGAGCAGAAGTTATCAGGGGAGTTTGAAAGACAAGGTAACAATAATAGTAAACCATTATGTAAGGCTTTGCACGGGAAAGTAAGCCAGACTCTCCAAACAGTTATTTTGTCTTGTGGGTAACTTCAAAGCAGATTAAAGAAGCTTTGCAATGTTTGGTTTAATGACTTAAGAAAAAGTTTCCAAAGTATTTAGAATCAAATAAAGTGAGTTTAAGCTTGAATCCAACAGATAAAACACACTGCATGGAAAGGAAATCGCAGTAGAAGTAGCAACCGCTCCATTTTATAGGAATTAAATGTTAATATCATGTATATGGGTTAAAGGGTTACTTTTGTTTTACACCTTGAGGAAAATCAGCTTTGTCTTTCTTAAAGAGAGTTCACTAGCAATATCCCTCTCATTTCTGTTCATAAAGACTGGAAACAGGGGAGCGGCTAGCCATGCTAGCTGTAGCATGGCAAGGCCATGACTTGTCTTTTTTAAACTTCAGTGTTTACACAGATAAAACAAACAAGATTCAGTGTACTCATTAAAGGCGCTGGTTTGTAAATTTTCTTATATTCGGACAAAGCCTAGCTAGCTCAGTAGCTGTTCCTATGCTAAGCTAAGCTAACCAGCTGCTGCCTGGGGCTTTATATTTACCGTAAAGACGTAAGAGTGGTATCAATCTTATCGTCTAACTCTTGAAAAGAAAGTAAACAAGTTGATGTACCAAAGCGATAAACAATTCCTTTAATGAATACAATATACTTACCAGTACTGAAATCTTGCATGCTTTACAATAGAGCACTGCTGGGATGATGAAGTTAGCGTTGCCCTTGTTATCTCGTCAAAAAGCAAATAGGATTTTTCCATTGGAGTTTAGATTATCGCAAAAATTAAGTTCTGTGGCAAACATACGTTTATGATTCTTACATGTTTTGTTTAGCAAGATAATCTTCACAAATTAACACCACTTTCATAATCTATGGAGCGTAAATGCAATCGCCAAAAGTAAAAAGCTAACGTTAGGTTATAAATGACCTAGAATATAGCTGCATGACTTCAAGGTCACCACCACCATGAGGCTGGAAAGTCGTGTTTGGCTTGATGGCGTTTTGTGGTCTCATTTAGCCCCTTGCTAGCAACCATCTTTTTTAAGACATGTAAAGGCATATACATTTACAAGTGGGGTATTTACTGGCATATTTTAGGCTGTTGAACAAAACATTAAAGTCTCTTAAGCTTGTGTGAACAACAGACCTTTTTTCAGGCATCTAACCGAAAAAGAGACAAAGAAACCAGGAGTGCTAAAATGCCAACTCATTTCCAGGTTTTAGACTCATTCCTACTGCACTCTATTGGACTTTTTACCCCTTTAGACTTGCTAAACTTGGGTTGTGTTTGTGAACATTAAAATTTAAGAAAAAGTCTGCAAAGTATTTCACCATATGTCACCTCTCTGTCACAGAATCTCAGTGGGTACATGCAACGCTCACCAGCCCTATTTAATTTTAGGGCAGAAAAGACTCTCAATCCACCAGAAACCACCGACAATTCATCAAGCATGAACAGATTAATCCATTTCTCCTCTGTACAGTCCAGATGGTCTCAAGGAGATCATAATTTATTCAGAAGGTCATCCTTGAGACCTTTCCACCACTTTCTGGAGTTTGCGAAGAGAGTTGTATATTTGCCACTGTGCTCCAGGAAGCCTCCCCGAGCTCCAGTAAAAGAATTACATCAACGATCTCCTGATAATACTCTGTAAGCGCTTAACTATTGCATGATGATGCCGAGCCCGTTTCTCTCTGAGTTTTTATGTGTAAATTGTGTATTGTATGAAATCTACTATTATTGTACGAACAAGAAACTGTAAATAAATAATTTTGTGTAAACTTTTGATTTATACTTTGAGTTGTGTTTTATGTATTAAAAAAGTCATACAAATTTAACAACTTCACATTTCTGGAGACAGGAAAAAGTGGTCTTTTTCAGTGTTGCTAACATACAATAGTTTAATTTGTGATTTAAATAATACAGATAAAATGTTCAGCTTTGCATAAGACACAACAATAAATACAGTTTACATTAAACAAAACAACAGCAGCTTACAGTACAAGTGATAGGTAGTTAAAATAAGTATGACTAAAGTAACAGTGTTTGCAGACATCTGTGATCAGATACATAATTCACAAAACAAACACGCCATATAATGAATTAAAATTATCCGAGTATATGAAATAAATTTGAGGAAACATATAGCAACAGGCTGACATGGATGCTGGTTTTCTCGATGAGAGTCGTGGGATGTAATAAAAAGATATAAAAATACAAGAAACCACTCCTGACCTGAGCAGAATCTCAAACAATGTTTACTTTTACTTTTCTACTGACAGAAAATAGCTATATCTTCTCCACAGTGTGCGCCTGTTATCCTCCAGTTGATGAGTTATAATGCACACAGAAAATCTATAGTGCACACCACACATACCTCATGTAGCCAGTGGAATTATTATTGTAATAAAGTTGTACAGCGGGGAGCACAGCGGGGAGGAAAATGAGAGTGTTGAGCCGCACTGTCACCGACACCTCCGTGACTGGTCTCTGCGCCTCTGCCAGAAAATGGAGCTGACAGAAAATATAGTGAGTGACTGGTCTCACCACTAAGGAATAAAGAAAACACACTCGCATCAGTGCTCACACACAGCCACATGTAAAAGCTAGAAAAACACATTTTTCTTGAGTCAGTGGTGCATTTCAGGTCGTGAACCTTCCACCGGCGCCTTACTAACCATTCCTTTTGAATCCCATTGCGTCAGCAACAGACAAACCTGTGTGTGCACGGGCCAGGAACGGAGAGAAATGCTGATGGAGACGACTTAGTGCTGGGACCGCCACCAATCGTAATTGCAGTGCCCTTCATGTGTGTTCTGCTTGTTGGAACTCTAATTGGGTTACAAAAACTGTCCAGAAACACAGATTCTGAAAGGGAGTTTCTGTTGTGTGACATCACTGGAATAAGTGTCTAAATTTATCCAGAGACCGCAACTCAGCTTGTGTGCGAGTTTAAAAGTTTGAGGCTTCAGGTAACACTTATTGAAGACAAGGAAGATAATTATTGGTAGTAATGACCACGAGACTGTCAAGTTTGCTTAAATATTAGCTGCTGAAAGAAACTGTCATGGCACATCCACTATTACATGATTCTACAAATTCTTCCACTGACAATCACTGGAAGCTTTATACTCATAAAGGTGAGCTGTATTACTTATGCTAATACACTGCCGTCAGTTGGGAACTCAAAATTACAAACCTACCACAACTGATAATCAGGATCTACTTATTTTTTCAAAAATATTGAATGAAAATCTTCATTTTTCACTCATCTGTACTATTCATTCTGCACGTTGTCCACATGAGCTGCATTTACAAATTACTACATTAGCACTGCATTTTTCATACATCATAGTGACTCCTTTTACCTCCTGCATAACAAAAAATAAAGGTGTCATTTCTGGCTGCATGTGAATTCATCCCGATTGCAATTATGGCTTGATTTTTGCAAATGATCATTTTGTATTTTAATGAGGACACAGTTGGGAACATTTTCTGTATGACAACACAGAATTACCTGCTTGCTAGTGCAGACAAGTGAGACAAGACTGGCAATAGGTGGATAAGAAGCGTGCTTGAGAATTGAGATGAATTTTCAGATCAAGGCTCCCACACATTTTTACCAATTAATTTCAAATAACTTTCAATAACTTTTCCACAATATTTTACTCAATTTCCATGACTTTGTGTAAGCAGTTTAAAATGGGCAGACCTATGTTAGGACACACTTCCCAGGCATTTGTGGAAAAGCAAATGACTAGCATTTGCTACCTTTACTCTCTCGTTAGACATTTCCATCAGGAACTAGCTGCATCTGCCAATAGACAGCACTGGCACATATGAGTACTTTCCAAAGCATCAAGGTCGTGCTGCTTTTTGGGGGATAGAAAGCCAAAGATCAGACAGATGTCAGTGCAATTTGGCATGATGGATTATAATTTTGACATGTTTGTATGCATTTATTTCTTGTTAAACAAACATTTACTTGATGGATATGCCTAATAATTGTTTTGTGACTTTGCAGAACCTGAGCATCTGTGATACCTTATTAAATTATGGTTGATTGCAATCATGTCCCTTTAGTCTCCCCCCATCCAAGTAGATCAATGAACCAACACACTGGCCGGATATTGATTTTTCAGACATCTATTCACGTACTGATGTCCAGATCACGATAGCTGGTGATTCAATCACCAGGTATTGTTAGGCTAAGTGTCGTCTGTAAATAAGCAACCAGTTAGTAGCCAACAGTTTGATCTATGGGATGAGATTTAGCTGAAGTCTGATGCTGCTGTGCTGCATGACTGTACTGCAGCAGCCTCAAGCTAATGTTAGCTATCCATCAGTAGTAACTGTCACCAGCATCAGTGAATACTCACAAATCTAACACGCCTCATATTTTATTGTGAGAGTCTCTGTTAACCCACTACACAACAGCTTTTCATCATTTTCTTGTTTCTCTTCTTATGTGACGATGCGTTTTTTTCTCCCAAAACAGGGGCGTAATCTTGGCGATTGCACAATGCTGGTGTGGTCTATGTGTACCACATGATACCAGTGACGTTTTTCGCATAGGAGCTTTTTTCACATAACATTAGACATGTTTTCGGATATTTATGAACATGTATTAAACAACAGCCAAAACAATATATATTCAAAACTCCCCCAAAACATTTTGTTAATTCCAAACCACTTCCAGGCCTGGATGACAGTTTTTCTCATTTCAATACTTTTCCAGGAATTTCATGACCGTGAGAACCCTATCAGATCCACTTTGGCAGTTTGCAGGTTTCAACATAAGATGTAATGGCTAGTGCAAGTTTGACTGCTCAAGTGGAAGACAAAAATGTCAGAATATATTTCAATCTATGGCATGTTCATCAGAAATAATTACCTTCCTCAAGAATCCTTAAAAATCTAGAAAATTATCAGTATAGGAAAATCACTTCTGTTCTGCCATTGATTAAATATGCTGGTTTGTTCTACTATCTGCTGTGAAAATTTAAATTTTGTGTTTCCATGGTGTTGCTACTGTCTGGTGTGTTATCTCTACCTGGAATGCCAACAAGAAAAACTCTGAAACAATCTCATGATGTCATGTCCTCTTCAGACAATCCTCTCGATATCGTCCTGAGTTCACGGCAATCAAAGTAGAAATGGTCTGTGAAAATGACAGATAAGGCTTAGGAATGTTTCAGATGGCTTGGGTTTGTGGAACAAGTCTTAAAAATAGACCTCAACAACAGCTTCACGAAGGGCTGGAGGACGAGGTGGTCATGCTAAGGTTGCTCAACTCTTCTGATCCGCAGGAAAAGGCTCCAAGGAGAGACGACTGGCATGTTTCACGTATACGTTGCCATCCTCCAGCTTGACTTCATACACTTGTTGCTGTGAAAATTAAAACAAAAGGACACAAAGATGTAAGAACAGGGAGAAACACACCATTATGAGCTACTGTGGAAGCACTGAGAACTCACCCTAATGTGCCAAAATCAGCTTACAGTGTATTTGATGTCACTTTTCACAAGTTACAAATGTAGAAAAACCTCCTGTGAAAACATGAGTATGTCTGTTTTTGTATTTCTTCCACTGCCTGAGAGTTGACATCACGGTGATATACAAGAGAAACAACAGTTTATAAAAATGATTAATGGAAAAGAGGACGAGATGTTTATGGAAAGTGAAGCTCTTGTTTTGGACAGTTCGTTGCATGTAAACAGAACAGGGGAGGAAAACATGTTTGACAGAACAAAAGGGGAACATAATCTCAACTCTGACTCACGAGCTTTGATTTCTCATGCCGTGTCAATCAGTGGAACTTCCTACATCTAATAAAAGTGGATGATTTATCTTCGCATTGCTGCAAATGTTCCTGCCATCTTCCAGGTGCGGTCAACAAGTGCAGCTGGGGATGCGATGAAGTTTGCATATGATGTCTCTGGAAGTTTAAACATATCTACGTACTCAGTGATGATATACTGAGCATCTTTTGAGACCTTATTAATGTTCACTACTATATATTACATTTTATTTTTGTATTTGTATCCTGAGACACACATTAAGCTGAAAAAACACAGTAAAGTCATATTACATCACTGACCTGTAAGGAGGTCCCTGACTTCCCAGTCCTGAGGTCAAAGTTGTAGTCGTGCCAGGGACAGAAGACCTGCAGGACTCCATCGGCCTCCTCGATGTCCCCCTCACACAGAGGACCGCCTGGGAGACACAGGAAGCTGTTAATCACAGCGTCTTCCTCTCAAAACATATGACTTATGCTGTCTTCCCTCTAGGAAAATGTGATTTTGAGGCTTGCATAACATGGTGTGAAAGTGATAAGCTGTCTGACAGCAGGGGGCTGTCACATAGACCTGTCAGTAGGCTACCAGCTGAAGGATACATAAACCAGATCCTCATCCTCTGCAGGGGGATGGTTAAAATCTGACCCACAGATGTGTGTTTACATTACATCCTCCATATTACGGTGAAAACACTTGTTTTATGCAATAAAATATGATGCACTGCGCATTAATCTGCTGTTGTATATAGCTAAAGGGTTAATAAAAGCGACTTATAGATAGAGGTTTTACCGGAGTGCGCACAGCGAGCATCCATGGCAAAAAACTCCCCCTTCACGTAGAAGAGGCAGACATCAGAGTCGTAGCCGAGGGAGGAGTACATGAGACGGCAGCGCTTCTTGGAGAGCACCGCTGCTGGGCCTATGAACCTCCATGAAGCGCCTTCCGTGTTTCCCTCCTCGTCTCCGGAGCCAGAAGCCATAAAGGACGGCGAAGTGAGCTGCTTTTCTAATTTGCGCTACTACAGGGCTGCTTTTTTCCGCCGGTGCAAATGCATCTGGCAGCTCGCTCGGTGAAAATATTCCATATTAACCACCGGGGCCGAGAGGTACGACGGTCAGCCGTGCGGACCGAGCTGCCTCCATCCGGGCTGCGGACTGCCAACGAGCCGTGACACCGTCACACCGAGGCACGCTGCGCGCTCCGGCTGCTGCTGCTGCTCCTCGTTTCAGCTACATGCATGAGAATTAATAAAAAATGAGCCACACAGATATTCAATACAAACCCACAGATTTATTATGCCATTGATTAATCGGTTTGAAATATACAGCCGTCTCTAAAAATAAACCAAAGTTAAAGCAGCAGCCAAAACAAACTTGCAGAAAAGGGCCTTACTGTGGAGGCTGCTGCTCATCAGAAATAATGTTTCCTTAAGAACAAACCAAGACAAACCTTTTCTGTTCTTTGATTAGACTCAGTCTGTGACACTGTTTTATGTTCAAACAATACAAGACTTTTTTGGTGGCCCTGCTGAGTTTAATGAAGAGCAATTTAATACACAGAATACTGGACGTGTTCCCAAACAGTGTGGTGACTGTGGAACATTACTTTTTATGTACTGTGCAAATAGCTCAAATCCATTTCTTAATTATCAGCTACAAAGCCTGTTATTGTTCTTTCATGGCCGACTCCACATTGTACGCTGCTCCAGACAGGTATTTGGCTGATTCCTTAGGTTGGGTTTTCCACGTTGCAGTTTCTTAGCATTACCACAAATTGTTTGTGGACTCCGTGTTTCTGCCAGTGTTTGAGTTGTCGAGCCTGTGTGTCAGCTGTGTGATTTAGCGAGTGGCCCACTGCAGCCACTTTATCAAATCCAAGATGATAGGATAGATAAAACTTAACCTCAGAGAGATAAATCTTAAAACGACATCTCCAACTCCTATCAGTCAGTTTAACCTCTGTGAGACCTTCCATGAAGATGTCGGCCGTCTGTCTAAGAACAAAGAAGATTAATGACTCATAATTACCAACAGTGTATAAAATTGACCTTAGCGGTAGCATCGGAGTCAAGACTTTTGCCACCTACAAATTTGTAATTGGCAAATTGCAAAAAACATAAACACATAAATGATGATCTGTATTTCCTCAACTTTTATTCACATTGTCTCCTTCGCTTTATTGTGCCAGTAATCATGCTGCTGGCAGTTGAGCCCAGAAGTAATGTGAGTTACTGTCTAGACTGGAGTGATGCATAACAGAGGCCACTTGTTCTGATTCCTGACTTTAAGAAACTGACTCATGTAAGGCTGCAGCGTGAGCACAGAAGAGAGCCATGAAAACGTGTCATGGGCAGGGAGAAGAATGTGTACTGCGTCTTGTCAGGAGTTGGATCCCTGAGAAAGTAAATGTGAAGTTAAATCACTGAAGAATAAGATGAGCCAGGGTAAAGAAACCTGAGGTGAGTGACGGAATTCTCAAATATGTTTTGTGCTCGGCCAACAGCCTCAGCAGATTGACAGGATATCGTCATTATAACCATTATAACCCATTCTACATTCGTCTTCATGGGCGACATTTAAAACCTTGATATGTAGATGTATTAAGTTGGATTGAAGTTTAAACATTACACACCAGCATGTCATGTAGTATCGTATTTAACTTTGTGTTGTTTTTGCAGAGATTTCCCATTGTCAGCATCACAACTTTGTCCAACTTTGGTTCTGGGTTTTCTATTTCTCAGCATCATTTTGTACAACCAGGGGCGGAGCCAGATGTTGGGTCCAGGGTCATGTTCCCCTGGGGAGATCTTTTCCAATTCACAGCATCTATATGCACTATTTTTCAAGTCATTTGAGACATCAGAATGCCTACATATCTCCACATCATTGTAAGAGCCACATATGCATATATTTATATTTGGTAAAAATGTCTGTTGATGTGACACATCATTATGGATTACAGGCACAAGTCAGTTATGCCAGGTATGGTGCCACATGACAGTTTAGTGCACATGACAAAAGGAGATTGGGAACAACGTCATGCATAAAAGACAACATGAAGTTTGTGTTGTTTAGGATCGTAATATGTTTTTGACCGTGTTATGCAGTGTTGAAGTGCACTAACGGGTAATACGGTGAGAATATATAGAAATAGGACATTGAGTCGGTAGTGGACCGTACGTAATGTAATTTTGGAAGGACCAGGCCTGCCATTTTCTTTTCTTTTTTGTATTCTCAATAAAGCTCGTTTATCTTTTACCCTGTCTCATCTAAGTACTGTGGGTCTTCAGAAAGGGAACAGAAACACGAGTCAAATCTGAGACACCTCACAAACTTAGGGTGCTTTCACACCTGCCCTGTTTGGTTCGGTTCAATTGAACTCAAGTTCGTTTGCCCCCTAAGTGCGGTTCGTTTGGGCAGGTGTGAACACAGCAATCACACTCAGGTGTGCACCAAAACAACTGGACCAAGACCTTCTTGAAAAGGCGGTCTCAGTCCAGTTACAAACGAACTCTGGTGCGGTTCGTTTGTGGTGAGAACGTGTTCCGACCTGGATCTGAACCAACTGCAGTCACATGACACATTGTTTGGGTTAAACATGAGCATGTTACAGTCCTGGAGGATTATTAATGTGCACCTCCTCCTGTACTGCCTTAATATGCACATTCAGCACATCCAATGCATGTTTTCTAGTTGGAGCCGCGCCTCGTTTTCAAACTGTATGGTTTGACTAAAATGAACAATGACAGCAATACAGTCCACGATGAGCAGCGCTAAAATCAACATGCGTAGTTGTCCCTCCATTGTGACATTAGAAAGTGTCACATTTATCTTGCAAGTGAACTCTTCTTCGTTTTTTTTTTACTTCCATTTTTCCCACATGGAAATTCCGACCAACCAAGGGCAGCTTTTTCACACAAGGTATTTGATCTGGTCTGCTTGTAAATTCTGCCGTGAGAACATGAACCACCTCTAGGCAACTCTGTAATAGCAATAGTCCCTGATTCAGACCAAAACAAGCACACTCTAGGTCTAAAGGCACCCTAACAGGCCTAGAAACTTTAGTATGTTGAAACGGCCACTATAATCATTTGCGAAAAACATGATAGTTGACAAGGGAAAAAAAATCATCTTGTAGCGCCTTTATCCTAATTTTGTATTTAACTGTTCTCCATCAGTCTTCATAGTTCTAAAGCCATAACAACAAATGTTAAGAATGACTAATTTTCACTCTAACCACTCTTAACATTGTCTGATGTTACTATTTTTAAGTTACATAGGATAGGACGTGTGCCTGCACACTTACTGCATGACAAATTTATTTCAGTCAATGTTTCAATCCTACTTGGATCTTCGTCAGGTCAAGGTCAAAATGATTTTTACCTGATGAAGATCCAAGTAGGATCAAAACATTGTCTTTATCAAACCTGTGTTGCATGGAGTAAGTGTAGGCTTTACTTTTTTCCTCATGTACGCTTTTTTTGATAGCCTTGCAGCCATGTGATGTTCGTATAATTATTCACTCTTACAAATCTCAAGACCATGTTTCTGTTTTACTACGCTGGGGTAGACTTCACAAAGTCAATGTTTCAAGTAGGTACAGCTGCAGTGCGGCTGGTGCAGCCATGTGACTCATCTGCCATACCTACACATAAGTCCAGGATCAGCCCACTTGGTTCCTTGGTCTGGAAGTGGAAGCCCTGAAAGAAATGCTATGTTAGTGTTTAGCTAGCTATTAAGTGTTTTTTCAAAGAGAAGCGGTTAAGGTTAGATCTCGTTACTTAAAAGGCGAACCGCGTCTTCAGGTATAGTTAGTAAAGGTAGTGAATAAAGTGGATTGTTGCAATGTTTGGCCTCATATTTATTCACAAGGATTCAAATACCAGTCCTGCTGGTGGGTTTGTCTTGTACCAATGGTGGACTTGGTTTGTAGGGACATGTTGTGTAGGCTTCAAATGTCCCTAATGTTTATCTGACAAATCTGCTACAGTTGAATCCATGCCCCAGAGGCCACCCTCTGCTCCGCCTCTGTTAAACTGACAAATGTTGGTTATTTTGTGCTAAGCCATTACTACCATTTTCAGGGACGTCCCTGCTTAGTCCAGCAAGACAATGCCGAGCCACATTCTCCACGTGTGACAACAGCGATGCTTAGTAGGAAAAGGGTGCTGGTACTAGACCTGTCTCCTATTGAAAATGTGACACACATTATAAAGTGCAAAATACGACAACAGTTGTTAAGCAGTTACAGTCGTATATCAGGGCTTCAACAATTAGTGTTCTCAGTTCCCAAGCGCTTACTGAGTGTTGTTAAAAGATGATGTAACACAGTGGTAAACATGCCCCCGTCCCAACTTTTTGGAACATGTTGTAACCATTAAATTGAGAATGAGTGCATGTTTATAAAATAAATAAATACATTTTATGAGTTTGAACATTAAATATCTTGTCTTTGGACTGTATTCAATTAAATACAGGTCAAAAAGGATTTGCAAATCATTGCATTCTGTTTTTATTTATTTTTACACAGTGTCCTAACTTTGTTGGAACTGGGTTGTATTCAAAACCAAAATAAATAACAGCAGTGCATCATTTTTATTCATATTTTACATGTACTTACAAAATAGTGTTGCTCAGACAAGTAGAGGTTCAAATTAGCTTTATTAAAATTAAATAATCCTCTGCTGTCCGTTAATTTCAGGTAGTGTTTAACAGTGTATCATTATAGCATTTCTGTGGAAATACCCAGAATAAATCCCAAATAAACAGCGGTAATAAAACACAGCTGGGAATATTTTGGCGTGCTGATCAGCACAGGTAGGCTTGAATCATGCAGTCTCCTCTCATACAGCAGGGTTTGATTGGAAAATCACCAAAGGTGTTTATTTTCAACAATCCAGCCAAGTATTACTAATTAGAGGGTGGGGTCCTGAGGTTATGAAATGGGTCCTAGAGGATTTCAGCCAAAAAAGCTGTACAGTGAAGTGGGCAGTCTGCAGCTTTGAGGTGGCACTGACAAACTGACAGTCATTACCAACAGCTCTGCTTTGGCATGCTGGAAGGTGAGAAAACTGCAAGGCGCACGCTGTGAATCAAATTAAATGAGCTCCAAATGATTTGAGTTTTGAGAGAGAGAGAAAAAATGCAATTACAGACATCAAAATGATGTGCTGTGGAAAATCTGACTCAGCAG